ATACCACTTGATATTGTCCACAATAAATGATAAACATATGTTCCTCTATTATTGACCCACGTAGGCATTTTTATATTTAATTTGAGTAAAGAATTTTATGACAGACACAACAGAGGCCTATAGACAGTACCTAATTGAGGAGTTGAAATGGTAAACGCTGTAAGTGCTAGAATAATTTATTTTAGTTTTTAGGGCTATCGCAAGATACTAAATCAGTACTCTACTCTAAATCAGGGAAAAGCCCAAAGGGGCGGAGTCGTCCCCACCGAGCGCGCTGGGCGTGGCTTCAAGGCGCTCGCTTCGCCGTCTTCGGGACGGATTTCCACACAACAATAAAATTTTTATAATTCAACGTCTACATATTTTGAACCCACGTGTTTCAGAAACTTACATTACATTCTTTCGTTCAAAATTAAACGTTAAAAGCTAAAGAAACTAGATAGTTAAGTCATTTGAACTTTGCAAGTGAAGTATTAAGGTAAAATGTCCGACTGCTTAAAAAGCGTTATTTTATACAAATACAACATGTTGAAATATAAAAATGCTGCATAGAGTATAGAATCGCTTAAAAAGCTTAAAACAGTCTCTGAAGAATGTAATATTCCTTTCGGGACTCGGACTGTGCATTCCTTCGATGTTTGCTTTCAGAGAGATAAAGAGATAAAGCTAAAAAGAAGACTAAAATATAACGCAAATCTCAAGGTTTTTCTTAGTTCTTACGTTCACTCTGTCGGAAGAGAATCTCGTTTACTTGTATCGCGATGCGACGTTTACTAAACGTTCCTCTCAAGACATTTTGCTTCCTGTCTTAATTACTTCGACCGTCCGGTTACCCTTTCCTTCCTGAGCAATCCGAGATTCTTTTTTTCCCTGGGAGTTCCTTTCTCTCGGCATGACGCTCTAGTTAATCGAAACTTCCACTCGAATTTTACCCACTACAACACTCATATTTCTTTTATCATTTCGCATTTCTTCTTTGTCGACGTTGTTTTTCTTGGTCTTCCTTTCATCGCGCGGAAACCTTGGTAGTCGTATTGCAAGAGCTTCAGCAATACGGCCGTGTCTACTAATTGTAGTAAATAAGCCAGAAATGTAAAGATCTCGTTTGCAAAAGAACAATCAGAGAATCTGAAAGCAGAGACAGAGTGGCTGGATAAAATTGATTCTACTAAATAGATTAGTTCTCTCCGCATTTATTTAACCGTTTGAGTCCCACGCGCCGCTTTCGCGCTCTTCAGATTTCACGTCGAAAAAACCCAACGCATTTGAACGATACGGACAACTGACGGCGCACTCGCAATCTGACGAAACGCGCTCAACTTTTCAGACGCATGTACGTCGCTTCTTCAATATTGATGAGATTTTTCTAATGAAAATGACATCAAACACGACATAATTTGAACAACATTTACTTATTAACACGTTCACTGTCATGCCAGAGATTTCACTGTATTGAGATAAAACAGACGCCCTGTATTACATTACATAGAGTCGGCCTACCGTTTATTTGACACTTGTAGAATCGGCCCTACATTTTTTTTTTTTTACGTGGAGGTAGGCCGACATTAAATTAATAACTCAATAAGTAAATGTTGTTCAAATTATATCGTGTTTGATCTCATTTTCATCAGAAAAATCTCACCAACGTGTTAAAAAAAATTTCAGATGAAAAAAAGTAAAATTAAGGAACTTATATTTTTCTATTATGAATTGTCGAGCCGTGAAATCTCGTAAAAGAAACCGAGTGGTGTAGCGTTACATGCTTGACTGGCTGCGAGAGAGATAACATGAGCGCAGTAATGACGCAGACCTAGGCGTAGGACCATCTAGACTGACACTTGTAGAGACATTACTGTAGTACGTGGAAAATTGTCTTGTGTGTACCGCTCGCTCGCGAGAACGTGTCTGAACTCGCGCGGGTTTATGATACGTCAATTGCTATTGAGATGCACCAAATTCTCCGCTTTCATGAGAGGTTTGGAGCCCTCCTGACATTACGCAAAACATTAAACGCGTATTCAAACCTTAATCTGAAAAATAGCAGAGAGTCGCGTCCGTATCGTAAACCTAGTCTAACTTAAGTATCCTCAACACACTGTCCTCATAACCACATACGTCGAAGGTCCCAATCTTATCGGACTTGTTGGAGTACAAGCGTAACCCGTAACACGCTAAATCAGGAACAATTAAAAAAACATCGTATTATTTGCATCTTAATTACAAATTGTTAATACGGAGGGGAAAATGAAAATTTCTACCTTTGTTGTTTCAATAATAGGTAGAAAATAATACTGATACATTCGACATGTTTTGTTTCTACATTGTCGAGACTAAACTACGATTATATAAAATTGTTTAAACATTCAAATCCAATACCGTTTCACTAATAGTAGAATAATTGTCTTTTTTCCCACAGTCGGAAAAAGAGGAATTAAAAGAATACCAAAAACGAAAAAGCAGGGGAAAAAAGCGTAAGCGTAATTTTTCATAGATGATAAATCGTGTATCGTATGAAAAAGTGAACGGAGCTTTCTTAAACGTTAAACTGCAGTTATGCAAGCGAAAAGATAGTGGCAGTAAAAGTTATGCATAATAGTACTTACGTCGCGGCATGCAAAGTACATTCGATGCGCAACCCCGCGCTATCTGCGTTATTACATTATTCAGGAATGGCGTGTGCTCCAGAATCGAATGATAATTAATATTCGCGAGGGAGCTACCAATTAGTGGAATGTGCGGCTAGAACGGAGAAAGACCAGTGGAACGAATAAACACGCAGAGAATGAAAACGCGACGCTCACCCTCGCATAATCTAATCTCGTACGTTTAACCGTCGATAACATTGCATATGATGATCTCGATAATTACCTGTGCCATTATCTTCGCATTTTTAGAAACTCTCTTCGTCTACTCACTAACGCCGGAAATACTCATCTAAGTAATTTTCGTTCCAGCAATTATTGTAGCTGTAACACGTAAATGTTTATTATTACTTTACAAGTAGGTGTACAAAAGTTAAAATATTTACTTCTTTTTCTTCTTTTAATTCAAAACTCAGCTATGATTTTCGCAATTTTTAATTGACGATATTCATTTCACTCCGGTGTAAGAATATAGATCACGGGAGTGATAGGTAAAGGTGGTGGTCGATTAATCAGACAAGTAATCCTGGGCGGTTTTGAACACAGAACTGTATTTTGACTCAACAGAGCGACGGCTCGTACGATAATGTCCTTCGACAAAATTCCTCGTCGAGAGGACACCCTTGGCAATATGGCCTTCCTTAGCCTTCCCTCGAGGCCAGAGCTCTCCTTAAGAGAGGGAAGCGCGGCAAAAGAAGGCACATGGCCCACTCGAGCGTCCGTTCATTTAGACTTTTCTAACACCGGTCACCGATGACCGTGGCCCTCCCCCATCGAGGAAACACAGGTGACCAACGGTTGCTCAATGTATTTTCTTCGTTTAACAAGGAACGCTCAATTATGTTTCAGGTTCACCCGAAGAAAAGCTCTGGGCCAATTTACCGAGCAGTCACTCACCTCCAGAACGACCTACAACGCCCCGCGTAACGACGACAAGTATTAGTACGACGTACAGACCATGGAAAACCCGACCGACTAGGCCAAATCACTATCCAAACGACGACCGTCCTCGACGCCCTTATCAATACCCTCAAAAGCCGGATTACAGAACGGAGAGGCCGGAGGATCGACCTCAAAGGCCTCACAAACCTCACAGACATCACACGACTTTCCCTCCCACTACTACTACTACCACAACAACAACAACCACCATGAGGACACCGTACACGCAAAGGCCAAGGCATAGATGGACACCTTCGACGCCCAAAAATGACATACCAGATAAATGTGACACAAGCTACGATGCCATCAGCATTATTCGAAGGGAAATTTTCATTTTTAAAGGACGAGTAAGTGTCAAATAGGTCTATATGAACGACACGTAAGTTGTTTCGTTAACAGATTAAATACGTCGAGTCCAGCATTCGTTTCTACTTATTCAAATCATGCATTGACGTTGTGACAAATCGTTAATCGGTAGTTTCCAATTGCTTGGCTGATTAAATGATCACAAGAATATTGGGATATCAATTCTTCAGCGGATGCAACTACGTTCGTGTAATTTTTTAGAACGAACAAGTTATAACATAACTGACAACATAAAGGAATAAATAAGAATAACATAGCAATGTACGATATTGTTTAATGTTTTACAGAAAACTTAAAGGTACAGAACTATGTACATTGAAAAATACAGATAAGATATGAAATAATAATTTGAAGGCAAAAATTAAATCTAGAATGAGAAGTCTTACTGGAAATAAACGTAAAATCAAATCTTGTTTTAAATAAAATTTATATGAAATATTTAAAGAAAAATAACCATGTTGATTTGTTTACGTAGACACGAAATAAAATAGGTAGTAGTCTAATGAAAGTAAGATAGTATAAGTAGCAGTCGAAAAGTTATCCTAACATTCATGTTCTTTCAGTATCTGTGGAGGATCGGCAATCATGGATTGTTCGAAGGATATCCAGCAGAAATTACACGTTTGTTTAACCTACCTGAAGATATCGACCACGTGGATGCAGTTTATGAGAGACCAGACAAGAGAATAGTGTTTTTCATCGACAAAAACTATTATGTTTTTAACGCTAATAATCTCGAACCAGGTTATCCAAAACCATTAACTATACTCGGATTGCCAGAATCACTAGAAAAAGTTGACGGAGCGATGATTTGGGGGTACAATGGAAAAACTTATTTCTTCAGTGGATCTATGTATTGGAGGTACTGAACAAAAATGACTCGCCTAATGTTACAAAATATCAGGTTTTATTATGTTTCTAAACTGGACATCGAGAAAAGATGATCAAACACTGTAACTTCCTAGATAGCACTCAGACGTCTTGTGAACGCCTTAACACGTTAAGCGCCATGTCAGTCACCGGTGACTGACACTATACTTTCCGTTCGGACCGCGTCAGTCATAGTTGACTGACGATATACAATTTAAAAAATTATATTCTTCTATTGATAAATTTTAAATAATTTGAAGAACATAAAAGAATGTACCTAAATATTACTTGTTACCAAAAAAAAAATTTTAACCGGCCGCCAGCATATCGGTGAAATCGGATATCGCGGGCTAAACGGAAGGAAAGACACAACAGGCTTGGCGCTTAACGTGTTAAAGATGTCATGTAAAAAGCCTAGGGACGTCCAAAAGACATCTGAACGACGTCCAGTGTTACAAATCAAGATGTTTTTGAAACATGACGCTACGAAACACTATACGCTGGCTTTATAAACGTCTTAAAGACGTAATTTTTATACGTTATTAGAACGTACCGATTTGTACGCCTTCAAAACGTCCAGATTAAGTTGTAAGACATTCAAACCAAAAATATACTCGAAGACATCTCTAAGACGTTGTATACTATCTGGATTTAATAATATTATACATTAAAGCACAAATAAAATATTATTAAAAAGAATATGCATATTCTAAAAAACAAAATATTTTATGAGAAGATACGATCGAAAACTTATTTTAGGAATTACGATATTTAATAATGTTTCAAATATATTCAACAAAATTTCATATTTTAAACAACATGAAATTCTTTTATGTTAAATCGCTACATTAAATATTTAAACGTAAAAAGATTTGTGTATGATAAAACTGAAAAGATACATGTAGTGGTTAATAATGACAAAGAAGCTTGACTCGTACATGTATAGTCCTACGCTAAGAAGATGACGAGCGGAAGGAATGAGGGTCTCATTGGTTTTAGCGGACACACTCATAAAATCAGATTACACGCATTTTTACTGTGCCGCCCCGCTCGTCATCTCAACGCAGAACAGTATATGGTTCATAATAAAACACAATTATTATTTTCATTATTATTCATTATATTATATTTATCTTAAAAATCATTTACTTATACATGAACAATTTATATATAAATCTCTTTCATTGTTTTATGAATAAAATTTATCTTAAGAGTTCTTCGGCAGTTAAAGACGCTCTATGCATTTATTGCAACCATAGTTTTATCAATAAAAATATTCATTGACAGTTGCATCGTACTTTTTTGGAAACTAGTGTTACCAAATCAACTCAGTTTTCATTATAAATATAATTGTTAAAGTTATATGTTCACTATTTTTATGATTTTTGTTAATGTTAATAATATTTTCGTAGGTTTGATGAATCCGAAAACCACGTAGAACTTGATTATCCAAGAGATATAAGCATGTTTGCTGGTGTTGGGAACGATATCGACGCTGTTTTTCAGTGGAAAGATAGTAAGTACTAATTTTAATAAACATACATCAAATTGTTAAACGTCATGTAATATATATATTTTAATTTATCTTTTAGGCAAAACGTACTTCTTCAAAGGAAAAGGTTTCTGGGAATTCGATGACCGAAGAATGAAGGTTGCTCATGAGAAACAAAACTTATCGGCACCAGTTTGGATGGGTTGCCCTCGAGAATTGGAAACCAACGACGTTGAAAATTATCCAAGAAAATCAAAAATCATGATTTCAAATGACGCGTCGACACCGTCAACATTTTTTCTCGGGATAGTTTTTATAGCATATTTTAATAAATATTTGTAAACTGTGATATTTATGTAAAGCCGCGTATAAACATGAACGTGTACATGTGTACACACTCCAGTCTACACGCGACTAAATTTTAACGCACTACCCTTATACCAATTATATATAAAGTAATTTTAATAAAGTAATTTTTAAATATTTTTGACGAAAAAAATTTTAATAATACATGGTGACTATCCTGACTCTTGAATTTTTTCACCTGCCCGAAACGTATCTTTTCTGATAAATATACAACCTTTATGTGGATTATGATCTAACAATATTACTTAAGCTACCGTTTCATTACTGTTTACCATTTAACAGTTATTATTAGAGTGACATTGTCTTGGAAAACAAAGAAAAAGAAAAGAACAAAACATAGGGAAGTCTTAAATTATGTCATGATTTAAATTATATATTTAACAAAACATGTACACTTTTATTTATTAGGTCAACTTTAAATGCGATATGTTAACAGAATCTCTTTACAGTTTTTACATTTTGCTTTGACAGGGGAACAAGCAGATTCTGCTTTGTTCATATTTTTTAGCACAGGTGATTCAGACATTTTACTTGAGCAACAAAATATCGCGGCTACGGTGCATTCGGGAAAGCGTAATCTTGCAAGATGGAACTTGCCATTGGACTTGAATTTCACTATTAGCGTAAATTATACGAATTCCACCATAGCACGCGATTTTCTTTCACTTTTAATTTTCTTTTTTCATAAGATATTTCAAATTCTATCTGTATTATGATGATAAAACTTCGTTGAACGTTCTAGTTTTGTTTCCTGATGCTAAAATCGTAAATCCGGTGGCGAATATGGGTCCCAAGGGTTAATCAATCTTAACGTAGTATGAACAATGGTATCTACCTCTGCCATTCCACCTATTCCAATGTCACCACACATAAGAGTTTTAGAAATGCAAGTGACTTCCTTATATCCCCAAGATTTTAGCAGAGCTACCTGAATAAATCAAGATTAATTACATAATACTACATATTTACAACCGATAGATTTTAAGAAAGCATTTAATATTTTCTCTTAGCACAAAATTTAAAGAAGTTTCTGCATTTTTATAAATTTTTGATATTCTATTCTGACTGCACTGACTTCTATGCTCTGCTAATACAAACAAAGAAATCAATCTGAATAATACTATTTTGAATTATTAACCTTCAACTGATGACGTGACTTTTTACTCTCGCTAATGGTGATGACACCAATTTTACATATCTCGAAAGAGAGGTCTATTTCATTTATATAATTATTTT